CTTTTCGCCTAGCCCTGCCGAGAATTTCGCCTTTGGAGCGACTTTGGAACGCCTTAGATTCAGACGCCGAACTTTTCATCACCGAACCTAATGCATAAATTATTATGACGTATTTTTGTAGGCAGTTTGACCGAAATGAGCATTTTGCGCCTTTTGAACTAAGTTCAGCTGCAATTAAGATCGGCGTCCGGAATCGATTCAACCGGTCAAAATAATTTGGGTGGGCCTAAATTCGAATTAGGTTCGGGTCATGAAAAGTTCGGCGTCTGTTGTGGTTACATAACGCAAGATAGCCACAGCTGCGTGAAAAAATCAAATCTTCCGAAATAATTTACAACATTTCTTTCGTAAAAAATTTAGACAAAGGATGTTCTAATTCTAAATAAATATGTCTAATATGTGCTCACGGCTTTGAAAGACCCGAGTTGTCTCCGGCCATTCAACCAAGACGCTGCAGACATAAGCGGTTACTATTTGTGCAGAATTTATTTAAAATGAAGACCCTGAGAGCGAGGCTGAACACTATAAGCGGTGTTGTATCGGCGACCTTCTCTTTTTCTGCGTGCAACAAAAGAAGTAGATTAAATCGGCACCACGCAGGCAACGCCTGCAGGATTCTTCTCAGATCGTTTAAAGTTTGGTGACTCTGTACATATTCTAATCAGCGGCGGCTTTGTTTACTCAAGTTCAAATGAAAGCTTTTAAATTCAGTCGTGTTATCATACAGTGTACTAGCTAAAAGTGGGAACTGTTCCAAGGCGGCAAAACAGTGTAAGATTACCAGTTTTTTTAAGTTCCCATTACTTCCTTACCAGGTGCCAAAAAAACTTTTGAAAGAGGGAAGACACACAAAGGTTACCTGTTATGTTATCTCTAGCCACGCCATAACTGTGTCACCATAGCAGTTTGCATGAACTTTGAACAAAGGATGAAAACAAGCCGCAACATGCCAAGTTTGTTAAAAGTAGAGATATTTTAAATTTTGAGGGAAATTCGAACGTTGCTGGGTCAACGGTGTAATTTAAGGTCAAAATGCAGCAAAACATTCATTATGTTGTTTAAATCCCTAACAAGCGAAAACCGGCCGGCGCGGTATTTCAGCCTGCTACAGATTACATTACAGTTCAGTCCGAGAAATAGTGAATGGATCCTGAATATTTCTCGGAATACCTTATTACCTGAAATTTTCGCGATATATTTATTTCGCGATTTTAATGAGGCACATTTCGCGACACTTGTGAAAATTTTATATTTTGAATCACTTTAAATTCGCGTTTTTCAGTACAACAATTTACATTTCATACGTGATGATATCTAACATGTCTTTGAATTAAATAAAACAACTTTATCAAAGGAACTATAACGTCAAAATCATGAAGAAAAAAGCAACAGCGGGACTCAAAATGTCAACATTAACAACAAAGCTGTTCTCACAATGTCCAGAAGCATTTCCTGCTTGTACGCAATTATTATTCTTGTGGTAATAGACTCGTTCTTTCTTGATTATGCACATGATGTGAGTTCCCTAGTTTCGCGTCATGTTATATGTTGGCGACACTCATTGTTCGCGACACTCATTGTTCGCGTCACTTTAATTTCGCGATTTTTTTTGTATCACGAAATTCGCGAAGTTAACGTGTCGCGAAGGTAGCTTCCGCTTTACTAGGAACTCTTGTCTTCTGAAGCTTCAGTAAAACGGGCAACAAAAACGTGCAACTCGTTTTGCAACATTGCTACAAACGCACTGGGTCCAGAGGAGATGTGTTTGTCGTTAGAACATAAAAACCCGTCGAAAACCTCTGAAATCAAAGGCTCCTAGGAGCGAGCTCATGGATGAATTGAATTAGTACATAGAAAAGACAGTTCAATAATCAAAGAAAAACATATAAATCTTTTTGGACGCTTCATTGTGTATAGTCTCCCTCGCAGCCGTTTTTAGTATCGTCACGCAACGCTCCTCCCCACAAACGGCCGTTTGTGGGGAGGAGCGTTGCGTGACGATACTAAAAACGGCTGCGAGGGAGACTACATTGTGTACGGACTTGCCAAAATACAGCGTGACTTGAAGTATCCGATTGCATGTGCACCTGAATATTCTAGAAACTTGTTATCAGCACAGCATTTCTACTTACAAAGCAAAGGTCACTTTTAAAAGCAATTATTAATGCTTTTTAGTTGTAAAATAATTTGCTTTCTCATGTGACTGTCAAACACTTTCCGAACGCCAGTGCACTTTCTTGTGAAATAGCCAAGTTTTACATACACGAGTTTTATTTAAACCGTGGTTTTAAAAGTGCGATGCTTTCAAATAAATGTTTCCATATGATGAGTACGTAACGGTTAGTATATGCAGTACGAGCTATATTAAATACAGAATACAGGCGTTTATGGCTAAATTGAACTGCTTTAGAATGCGCTTTTGATAATGACGAGCTAAAAATTATTTTAATAAAACGGATTAAGCTCAAAGCAGTACGTGCTCTGACCTAGCCAAGTAATTTATCCCGAAATTTACAACGCAGTCGAAGTATCCGATTGCCTTTCGCCAGAGACTTATTTATACCAGCGCAGCATTTCTTGTAGAAGTTACGTTCATAGCACTGCTAAATGGAATCACCGACAAACAAAAGCCTACTTTAAGGCCTAAGAATTCAAGAATTATAGCGTAACGCTTGTTGGTTCTAAAACCTGTGCTGTCTAGTTGACACAAAAAATTCATTCCCTGTTTGCATACCAAGACAATTGGTCGAACGGATTCGTCCAAATAACTGAATAAACCTCAATAGATACTCCTCAATGTCACTTTAACAACTCGAGGACCGTTTTTTTTGCAGTGGTTATAAGGCTCTTTGGCTTATTCGCTTTTCGCTGAACGAAATCCCATTGTCAGGCTGCAAGAGCTCTTTCACACTCCTGTTGATCGCATCTTCTCCATATCAAGTATAATATCGGGAACAAATGAGCACAATTCGTCCAAATATACAACAATGATCCACGCTCAATTATTTCAATGTCCTTTTAACAATTCTAAGTCCATTTCTTGTGTATGATATTACCAGTGTTCTTTAGAATATTTCCATTTATTCAAAACCCATCTCTATTATTGATGTGTCGGGAAAAAAATTCGCCTTACTAGTACCCTCTAGAATATTCCAAACATATACGTAAAAGGCACTTGGAATAAAAGTAATACTAAGTACGGAAGGTAGGAGTAACGTGTTTAATCTGACTTTAATGAATAAATTAATGAGAATCGAGTGAGTGAGTGAGTGAGTGAGTGAGTGAGTGAGAGAGTGAGTGATCGAGTGCCATTCGAGTGCCTCCAAAAGCCCATGGCATGACTACGTCATCCATGAGCTAAAAATGGGTTATTTTGATCGCGTTACAGTTTCGATACACATTCTATAGACCGCAAAACAAGAGAATGAGGGCTCGCAAGATCGGCTTAGAGTATAAAATACGTGCGCCAGCGAGGATATGGCTTGCGGTTATTGATTTTCAAAATGGCGAACAACAAAGTCGATGTGGGTCAGATAAGAAGCGAAGAAATCGTATACAGTAGATTCATAAAGATCCCATTGGGCTAATTAATCGAGCTAAGCGACAGGTATAGACATTTTTTCAAGGTGAGACTTTAAATAAGTAATTCCTTTATTCACACGAAACTCCTCTGTACCCTGTGCAAACGAAGCGATGTTGCGCGTTTTACCACCTACGATCAAACCTGTCTTGCAACAAGTAATAAGTAGTAATAGCAGTAAGACCCTGTTTACAAGGAGGGAGGGTAACCCTAGTGCTAGGGTTAATTATGAACATCTGAAAAATAAAAAGTTATGTTCTGTCTATGATGATAATATTTTCCCTTTTTTTTTCGTGAATTTAACGTTTTTTTCGATAGAGAACTTGAGATTATTTCAAATTTTGGACCGTTACAAAAAATGTCACGCATGACGAAACACGTCAGCAAAGCTTGTAAAGTGTGAAATTTGCTTGTAAACCAGAGTTAACCTTAACCCGCTTGCTAGGGTAATCCTAGCACAAGCGTAACCCTCTCTCCATTTAAACAGGCCCGTAAACGCGCATCGGTCAAACTTAAAAACTCAATTTTCCCTAGGTAAACTGTCAACAAGTCGAGTTTACCTAGGTAAAAAGTCTGTAGTGTGACCACAGCTATTTATTCATTCAATAACATCAACCCTATCAAAGTTCGGGTTTTGGTCGGTCAATAAAACAATGGAAAAGTCTAACAAGGGATTCTGAGCTCTTACCATTTCTACGGAAAATAAAGTAATTCCGGCGGAATTCAAATCTCGGTGTAATATTTTCGGACAAAAGGTAATACGGCCCGCTTTTACAACTAGAACTAACTTTTTAATTGTATAACTAAATCCCGTTCCTGTTTTCGGTGCGAAAAAAAAAGTACACCACTGTTGACGAAGAATTTCACCGAAATTTCCGCGCAAATGGTAAGCGCCCCATAGCTTCGCTTGTGGGTATGATAAGCTAGTCATTGTTATATACCCCGTGGCCAGCGAGGATGTGTGATTCAGTATTTATTCACCTTAGGTAACAACCTCAAGGAATAAATTAGTTTTCCCCTGTTACTTTGACTTATTTAAAAGTAAGAGCTATAAAGGATGCTCTGTCACCATGATGAAGAGAGCAATACACTTTTTTACCTTGTATGTTTTGTTTTCCCAATTCAGACCACGTGATGTTCCCTAAGGAATTTGTTTTTTGTCTTTTCATTAATTACGCACGTGTTTGAAAGAAACAGTTCTCAGGGGTACCATCACGTGGTCTGAAACGGGAAAACAAAACGTGCAAGCTAAAAACGTCTATTAGCAGAGTGATCAGTTGGAGTGCAAGGTAACACTGGCAGTTATATATATATATATAATATATATATATATATTTCTGCTTGTTTAAAGTTCTGATTGTGAATTTTGTTCCGTCCACCAGATACTTTAACACATTCTTTTGAGCGAACGCCGAGAACGAGTAAGTAACAATATTTGATATAATTTTTACTAGTATGTAATATGTCTTTAACAGGGCTGTTCCAACCGCAGCTTTCTCTAGGTAGGCTTTAAAAGGTCTTGGTTTTAATCCTTGACTCCCCCTATAAAAGTAACAAAAAATGTTTAACATGCAGTATATACTGACGAATTTGTAAGCCTTTCAAACACACAGCAACGCCGCCTTGAATCACTTAACATGTCGCCCCGTGTAAGGGAATATCCCTGAATATCTTGAACATTTTTGCTCATGGAGTCTAAAATCCTGGCCTTGGAATCCGGAATACAGCTGTAGAAATCCGGAATCCTTCTAAAGATCGGCATCATACGGAATCCAGTCTCTACTGATTAAGAATCTGGAATCCCGTTCCTGGAATCCGAAATCCACAGCATGGAATCCAGAATCTAAGGCAGTCTTGGATTCCCTTATATCGGGCGGGGTGAAAATTTGTCGTCTAAACACTTTTATCAGAGAGGGTATTAAATCTAGCGCGCATCCTCATTTATTTTAAACCTCACAATCTTAGCTGAAAGAAGGGTAGAATCGTGTGAACAGAGGTAAAAGGAATACGCAATGCCATGTATTCGTTTATAGAAGATCTGGTGTGAACATGGCCTTGATTTTTGTGGGAACGTCGTCTGACTTAGCCTCTTAAAATGTCTGGGAGCCTGTCTTCCATCAAATTATTTCCTTTCAAGAAAAAAAAATCAAAGTATCTTGAATTCTAGTGGACGAAGATGATGATGGATTTAATCTCATTCAGCCATCGCTGATCCAGCAGTTGAAGACCATCCTAGATCAATACCCTGACGATGGACAGATATTGAAGGTAAGAAATGTGGAACGCTTAAAGTGCAGATCCGAATTTTGACGGATTCTTGCTTTCAGGTTTAAGACGAAGTGCAATTCGCGTGAATCGGATAAAACTAGCGGACTCAATGCTCATAAAGAAATTTGAAGGAAAAAAATTACGAATTTTTAAGAAAATGCTTTTTTCGTGAGAAAGACTGTTAAACACTGTTCAACGCTGACAAACGTAAACAAATAGCTAAAACTATAATTTCTATCTGTTTGCATTGCTCGAAATCGCGCGCATTTACAAGGCCCTGAAGCTTTTTGCTGACTTGCAAGGACCCATCTGTTATAAAGATCCCCAAAATAAAGGGATAGACCTCATAGTTTATTAGATATAATCGTGTAAAGTTTCCTTATCATTTTCACATAAATTATGACCTAAATTTGGAAACCGCTGAATTTCTCGCATTGGGTCTTTGCGATTTTGGTGAAACTCTGTTCAACGCAAGGCACTAATGCGCACTATACGTAGCCGAGAGATTTTCACGAAAAAATGCCAGCAACAGCAGAATTTCGACTCAGACCCCAAAGAGGCGTGGCACTATGACCACGTGACATTTACTTCGATTGCCAAAACATTTATGCTATATTGTAGATTGATCTATATGTTATCCATGCTATATGTTAGACTTACGATCAAAGTAAAGGTGGGGATATCTGAGAGCTTCAAAGTAGGATGGTACGCCCACAAAATAACTGGGTCGAGTCATCTTAACTCCTCTTCAATCGCTCTCTTCAGTATTGTACTCTTCTGCTGACTCGCAGGGCTTGTCCGCGTAGGAATTACTTCTTGATATATAGCCTCTTCGCTGGCTTGCGTAGTTGGGTCATAATTTTCTACTTCTTGTTGGAATTTTTGATGGATATTCAGCAAAAACTCAGGAATAAAAGTCCAAGAGTCGTCAGAATAGACATGCAATTGCTGGTTTTCAGTGTCACGCCATTCAAAATAGATCAAAATAAAAATCACAACCGTTCAATAGATAACGTCCAGAATCTGGGAAATAAAAGGACGTACATATAAAAAGACCCTTGCCAAGATTCAGGTCAGAGGGATATTTCGTATACGAGATATCCGAAGAAATGTTTTACCCAAACTTATAGAGATTTGTATGGAGACGCCATGCTGGTGCTCACCTGGATGAGCTCCAACATGGCGGACGGAAACCAAGAGAAACATCTGTTAGCGAGTTTTGCTACAAAAGCGTGAATTTATTCTTCAAGAAACTCATAAACATTATGTAGTACTTTTTCTAATACCTGAACTGTTTAGATAGCAAAATTTCCTGAAAGAAGTCATTTTTTAAACCTACATGACAGCTTTCTTGGCCGTCATGTAAATGCCGCGTCACGCCAAATTTTAGAAATTCAAGCTTTCTCTATCAGAAAACCAAGAACCCTTTTGAAGCAAAAATTTGTATGAAAATTAGTTTTCAGCTGCTCTAATGCATCGTGAAAGTAAAATCTCTGTTGGATCGATAGTTTTTAGTTTGAATTTTAGTGACGTTATGTGAAAACCAACAATTGACAGGCTTTCAAGAGTGAGACATCTTATTTAGTCAGGAAGATGATGGTGGTTCAAAAGCAACAATGACGAACAACCAGGACGGCAAAAAAACTAGGTTTGAATTAGCAAAACGATAGTTTTGCACGAGCATCACGCCTTTTGGACATTTCTTTGCCATCATTGCACGACCCTGACTTCCTAAACTTTCTAATTTCACGTTGTTGGAGGATGTAAACTCAAGATAACGATTTTCGACTTTTTTAAAACTTAGATACAGTTTTTTAGAATTTAACTGCAGCCACGTGAAAAGGCGGCCATGTTGGGGCTCAATACAATAGATTTTTTTCTAGAATAATTTACATGAAAAAATAGTTCCCAGAGGAGGGAAATGCTTTTGTTCTGACCACCAACATGGCCGCTGTGACGTCACGTGCGAACCAAAAATAATGAAACTAGCAGTTAACAAAGCAACTGAGTTGACTGGTTTGTGAGCTAGGACCGTGCTATTATTCAGCTGGTTTTTATTCTAAAGTTTGCCTTCGTGCCCATAATGCTTCTAGGCCTTTCGAGAAAAGGATAGATGAGGTGGAAAGGGATGAGACAATGTGAGATAAGATAAGGCCTAGACCAAACGTTGAACTTTTTCATTAGTAAGAACCAAACTCTAATTTGGGTCGACCAAAATTTGGTTAAGATCCTCTGTTGGGTCAGACGTCTACTTAGGAGGCGTCAAACCAATCAACAGAATAGATCTATTCGGCTAACTCAATGTTGTACCCGTTTCAAATCTCCTGGGGTTAAGAGTCTTTGTGTGTTGTATTTGCATTGTGTTGTGGCATTCACATTTAAATTATATGGAAATTCCTGAAACAAAACGTTTTATTCCCAAAGGGTTTGAATTAGGTACAACATTGAGTTAGCCGAATAGGTCCATCAGATCAGTAACAAATTTTTCTTCCAAACGAGGCTAAATATATATGATCATTCAAATTTTCAATTTATCAGTTTAGCTGGTCGCATATGAAGATCGACCTTTTTCTCGGGAGAAGATCTTTAGACGTTCTATCCTTCTGGAGCAGACAGACGTGTTTGACGATCCAGACTCATTCAGACGAACTTAACTTAGCCAGACGTCACATTTTTCATGAACTTAACCCAAGTGTGGTTCGTCTCATGAAAAGTTCGATGTAACCTAGTCCTAAGTTGGGAATAGAGGAATAAGATAAGAGTAGTAAGATGAGGTGGGACGAGATGAGATGATAAAGGATGGAAAGATTCTTAATGAATTATGACGAGACACAATGGGATAGGATGAGAATTAAGGACAAAGATGAGATGAAGTAATGTGAGACGGGAAAAGATGGGATATGCGATGAATGATTTTGCTAAGAAGAAAAGGACACAACAAACACGAGATGTGATTAGATGAGACAAAAGATAGCAGCAAATGGATTACGTAATAAGACAAGATAGATTAATCAATTAGGTAAAAAAATAAGATGAAATTATAAATAGTAGTGCCGTCTTGGAGATGCCATAAGGTGGAGTTAATAGCGAGCTTTCGCAGCGACGACGGCTACCGCAACAGGACCTTCCAAAAGCACTGGGTTTGATCAGCAAAACAACAGCTATGTAGGTGCATAACCCCTTTTTGTGCACTTCTTTGCCATCACTGCATGACTACGACGTGAAATTCCCCAAGCGACAGTTTATGGAGAACTTAAACACAAGACGACAAGTTTCTCTTTCCCTCTCTAACCTTGGGTGGGGTCCCCAAGAATTCACTTCAGGGAAATTCACCCACATTTGAGCTTGGAAACCCGCCGGAAAGTTTGAAAAAAGCAAAGTTTTTTTTTTTTTCAATAGTGACGTTTTCACTGCCGTAGCCGTCGTCGTTGCAAGAGCTCCCTTATAATCATCATTCAGGGTGGTAATGTGTGAGATAGAAGAAGCGGCTTGGTTTGAAGTATTCAGTGGCTGATAGTGCAGTTTAGGCCTCCTCTATTTTAATGTCGTTTGTGTATTAGGAGCTCATCCAAAATGCCGAGGATGCAGGAGCAACTCAAGTGAAATTCCTCCATGACCTGCACAGCTATGGAACAGAAAAACTGCATAGCGAAGGACTTGCCCAGTTCCAGGTAATCTGTGAATACCCGATTTAGTAAGCAATTCCTTATTACCAGATGTGACTTAATTGTTTGCTATAACTGTCATGAGTCAGATTTAAGTACGAGACATACTAGCAATGCAACTCTAAGTTATACCCCGTGGCGCAGGCGTCACGCAAACGGGCAATTTCTGTATTTTTTATTTATTACAAAAAAAAAAACAGCAACATAGATTATTCTTTCACGTCTAACTCAGTAAAACTGCTAAGTTTCCTTAGGAGTCGTCGGAAACTAACGGAAAAAATATATCCTTAGCAAGAAATGTATTGCGTCTGCACGCCATATATTTCCTTGTAAAATCCCCCATGTTGGGCCTCCAACATGGGGAATTTTTGTCGGGGGGTGTCTATTCGTTTTCGACAAATCCTCATGAAGTTCGCAGACTTATTAAATTTCACATTATAAACTGATCTTAAGAGGTGTTTTGGGGTCTATATTAACAATACGAATAATTGCAAACATTGCGTGCATATGAAAAAAACTCCTCAGGTCTTAAAGTCCGCTCCGTGCGGTTTTCTTTGTACGCATGGTGTTTCATATATCATTTTATAAATGATTTCCTGCAGGGCCCAGCACTCTACGCGCACAACAATGCCACGTTCACCAAAGAGGACTGGAAAGGAATCAGGATGCTCTGTGACAGTATAAAAGTCAAAGATCCGATGAAAGTTGGTCGGTTTGGCCTCGGTTTCAAATCGGTGTTTCACGTCACAGGTGAGATAACTATTATGTATTTATCAGAACTCGACTGATCATTTCGTAATTATGGCAGCAAAAGAGTTTTGTGACACTGTCTTTTTAAGAAAACCATCTAAAGGTTTGAAATTTTGGCGGCAAATGTTAGAAAAACATCCGAGACAATTTTTGCGGCCCATTGAAAAATGAAAATATTTCCTAATATCACTAGGGGGCAAATTACGCTAGCAATCGTGAGGTAATGTATCGAGCGAAAAGTCCACAAACTGAAGCTTGCAAATACAGCCGTTTCTCCTCCCCGCTGGGGGCACGTCGCGAAAAGTCCTTAGATGCGAGCTAGGTGCAAAGAGAGACGGCTACAATCGCAGGCTACACAAACCAATAAGATTAGAGCAACCATTTTGGCTTAAGTTCACAAGGGTCTGAATTTTTGGACAAAACATTATTATTAAATTATTCTTTCCATGTACAAACGGTGATCTTTCGATTGTTTAGGTTTGCTACACCGTCTTGTAATGGCTGCCCTAACATATTTATTTGTAGGATACTTAAACGTGGACGCTGAGATTGCGGTAACAATTTTTTTCGCTCCAAAATTATCAAGTAATTTGTCGTCCTTGATATTATACCCACTACTTTGTATACTTTATTTATCTTTAGATCTACCGAGTATATTAAGCGGTTCACAAATCGGTGTTATAGACCCACACGAGGAGTACTTTACCGAAGGGAGAAATCGACGAACAGGTTACAGCTGGAAAGTAAATGACAATCGTTACGTCATGGACAATATACCAGACCAATTCGCGCCTTACAATGGAGTATTTGACAGCAAAGACGATGTTTTCTCCAGAGGCTGGTACAACGGTACTCTATTTCGCTTTCCACTACGACGCCGTCCCTCTGACCTTTCTCAGACTCTCTATTCCGCTGAAAAGGTACACACATTATTTGAAGGATTCATGGCTGACGCACACTTGATCCTCCTTTTCCTACAACATCTGGAATCTGTAGAGTTGTACGTCCGTGGAGAGTACGACGATCAACCAAGAAAAACGTTTCAAGTTCGAATCACAGATGAAAGCCTTAATTTGGTACGAGAAAAGAGGAAGGAGTTTCACAATAAGATCTCCACTGGCAGGCTTTTGCCCCATCCTGTCCAAGTAAGCTATCCCATCACGGTTGTGACTGCGCACTTTTCGCAAGGCTCAGAAACCACACAGACTCATTCGTTTCTTGTAACCAACTACTTTTGTGGCCAGGAGGTGTCATCTGACTTTCAAAGCCTGGCCAAAGATCTTAGCTACTTACCCTTAGTTGGTGTGGCTATGGCACTCGAGCCTACCCCAGCGTTTAAAGGCCACGTGTTTTGTTTCCTACCGTTACCAGTACAAAAAACAAGCCTTACAGGTTTGCCGGTTCATGTGAATGGCTTCTTTGCCTTGAGTCAGAACAGAAGTTATATCAAGTTTCCAAATGCAGAACAAGAGGATCAGGAGAGCAACGGTCGTCCGTTAACTGACAAGTCACTCTTATGGAATAGGTATCTTTTGGAGGAGGCTCTACCCAAAGCATATGCAGCGATGCTACTAGAAGCCATCAACGAAAACAGCTACAATATACAAGAAGAGACCGTTTACAGGTAAGTTTAAAATGCACCGCTTCTGAAATGAGATACCTTAGTTTCTTTATCGGCGCAAAAGGGAAAATAATTGCAAGAAAGTGGCATTACTTTAGCTAGTTCTCCCTTCATGCCTCACTCTTCTGCGTAGTACGGCTATAAGTACTTGGAACATAGAGTACAATTTTTTTTTTCTATTAACTTGACCCGTACATTCTAATATTTGGAATGTAAGAACGTTTTTAGCCGCCTATTCAGCAAAATAGGTTGGTTCAGGGTTTTACCATGTTTATAAGCCACACATTTTTGCCGTCAATATTGACATATGGTTTAAGGTTCCGGGTGCAAATAGTGCATTAACTGATTTCAGATTTCGCATACTGCATTCTGTAGGGCATGGCCTAATACCGATGCCATCGATCAAAAATGGAAGAGATTGCAGAATCCGTTGCTCCAGACCTTGTGCTCGGCAAATGTGGTATACACTAAAGCTAGTGGGGGAAAGTGGCTTAAAGTGGAAGACGCTATCTTAGACAGACTTGAAGAACACCAGCCGAAGGAGTTGCTCGTCAACGTGTTGCTAGAAGCACATCAAAATGTTGCCACTTTACCTGCCTACGTGTTAAAGGCATTTACCGCCTGCGGTAAACCAGTCATCAACGAGATTACTCCCATGTTGGTTAGGCAAATCCTCAAGCAAAGTCCTTCAAGCTACAGGAACCTTGGGCGAATGGAAAAGTTGAACCTTCTATCGTTCATCATAAACTGTACAGACGAGAACTTCGCAGACCTAATTGGAGTGGAGCTGCTGCCCGTATCCAGTGGTTCCTTTAAATACTTTGCATCCTTCTCAAACTGTGATGAAACAGTGTACGTCTGTTCACCCGATCATCCAAGAAAAATGTTTCCTTGTCTAGACCATCAGTTTCTGGATCAAGACCTGGACCAAAGTCTTTTAGAAATTTTGCAGAAAGTTGCAAAGAAAGGTATGAGCGATATAAAAATATTTTGGAATTACTAAAGGCTATTTTGTCTACTTCAGCCAAGATAATCTAGAAGTAATTCCACTATTTGGCGAATTAAAATTATATTTAGCTCTAAACTTCTCAGGGCATTGAGTGGAGTTTTTAGAGTATTTCGTTATTAATAACCAATAGCTTTGTTTTGAATGTACTCAGAAACTACTTCTTCCTTTTTTGCATTGAGTTATTAATCAAATCAAGGAAATAGAAAGAAAGACTATAACAGCCGGCGGCGTGTGACAGTGTTGACCTCAGACTAGAATCTCTATTGCTTTAACGTGGTTACCGAATTCAAAGAAACATGCTTTTTGGTACTTTCACGAATTCTACACGAGCAGTGATTGGTCGTAAACATCCAAAGGCGACATAGCATAGAACTTGGCGCACAGATTTGAAAACGTTAGGAAGCTCTTGTGTTACTTAATGTTCTACTATAATTGAACATCATTTGGGATTTATAAGGGTACAGCACCGTAAAGTAGTATCTACATGATAAGCATAGTCTTCCTCGACAATGCAGGTACCTAACATGTTATAGCGCTAAGCTCGGTGTAACGAGCAGTTTTCGGGGGCGATCTTATTGTGCGATTTTTTTCTGCTATTTTAGCTTGATCCATTTGCTATTTATGGGAAATAAGTATTTTTTTCATCAACGTCTTTAACAATAAACTTACGCTCATTACTTGTAGATGAATATGTTGGAGAAAAACGTGCCGCGCAACCAATCACGCGATAAACTCGCCCTTGAATCTTAAACGGCATTTCAGATATGCACTGTTCAAACCTTCAAAATGTGACGTGAATTTTAAGTGGGGGCTACAGTGAAAAAGAAATTATTTCCTTTACTGTTTAAATAGGATGCACCCAGTTAAAGCTTCTTAGTGGAGACGACGTGGCTTCCCTTCTTTCAAAATCGTTGCCACCAGAGTGGTCACAAGACGAAAAAATTTTATGGTATCATGGATCGGATTCCCACAACCATCCAGGATTCGACTGGCTTGAGCTCGTTTGGAATTACTTAAGGACGAAATTTGCTACAAACGATGGGCTCCGCGGGTTCACAGGTCTCCCCTTGATTCCACATGACATGTCACAAGTACCAATCAGCCTTGCTAGGCTTCAACATCCTTCTAAGATAATTGTGAAAAGTCTCTACGATGAATTTCTCGACGAAACGCTGCTGCAGTCCTTGAAAGACCTTGGTCTAGTTATCATTCAAGAGTGTCCATATTACCTAACCCTTCACCCGGCGGTCATCAATGCATTTATTTACCCGCCATCACCACATGGAGTCTTGAAGGCGCTATCGGCTTGTTCATCGGTTGTAGAATCTAACAAGCATTCACTGACAGACGAAGGCAAACGGTCCTTAAGGAAGTTCTTTTCCAAAGAATCGTCGCTAGAACCTCAAGCAAAGCAGCTTCTCCGTACCCTTCCTTTGTTTGAGACGTTAAACAAATCTTTTGTTTCTGGGGAGCAAGATCTTTGTGCAGCTCCACCAGAAGGTTCTTATCCCGCACATCCGCGCAGGGATCTGATCGACGTCACAGATGATGACTCGAAGAAGTTGGCGCATCTGCTAGACATCAGATGTTTATCACCGATAGAGTTTTTTCTCGAAGTTGTATTTCCAGATGTCAGAGGAGGGAATTATTCTAAAGGAGAGCTCGACAGGATTATGGAATTCGTTATGGAGCGGTTTCAAGTTTACGCCAGTGAAGATGCTCGATTTGAAGAATCGCTTGCAAATTTGCCATTTGTACCGAGTAAAAATAGACGGGCAAGAGCTATGGAGCTTTTCGATCCGGGGATTGCGTTGTTAAAACGAATGCTGTCCGAGGAAGATGTTTTTCCTGTTGGTGAACAATATACAAACCCCGCCACCCTAGTAGTTCTAAAGAAACTTGGTATGAAGAGTGAAAAGCAAATTAGCGCAGACGATCTATACCGCAGTGCCAGAAAGATCTCCCAAATGTCAAATTTGAAGGAAGCAAAGGAAAAATCGGCGGCCATACTAGTATATTTAAAGAGCAATTCAACAAAGCTTCAACAAACTGTTTCTGGGGTAACGTTGAAACAACTTTTGCGAGACGTTCCATGGGTATCCGAAGTGAAAGAGAGGCCCTTCGGTGTTCCTGCTAGTCTTTACAAGACTGAAGAAACTGGCATACCCTACTTTTATAAGCCCACAGAAGTTACATGTGAAGATAAAGTTAATCTTATCGGAACAGTGACGCCCATTGTAGGAGTACATTCTTCAAGTCAACTGGCAAAATGTTTCGGCTGGGATAACATGCCACATGCATTGGACGTGGTGAAACATTTAAAAACAGTGATCACTCACTATGATCCAGACGAAAAGCAATATTACATTTCAACTGTCAAGGACATCTACTCATATCTAAATCAGGTCGCAGATCCTGGAGTTATCAAGAACGCTTTGCAGGGAATTGAAAACTCGTGCTGGGTTTGGAATGGAGATGGGTTTTGTTCTCCTGATGTTGTTCTTGCTGTAAGGCCTCCGATTGATCTTACCCCGTACATTTGTTCGCTTCCCTCAGAGGTGATGCAGTTTTCAAACTTTTTCTCGAAATTTGGAATGAGAGAGCACTGTGATGCTCTGTTTTTTGTACATGTTCTTCACCTGATGAAACAGAAGTATGCATCTGCACGCGAGTATCCAAGCACAGAGGTGAAAAGAGATCTGCGGTTATCTGCAGACATCTTGAACGAGATTAAGCCCAAAGAAGGCGAACAACTACCGACAGAAATTCAAGAAAAAGTCCTTATTCCAACCCACGTTGAAGGAGATTCCTACTTGAGGCTTGCACCAGTTGAAGATTGCATGTACTGCGACCATGAGTGGCTAGAAGATGGCACATCTGCTGAAGAAGAAACAGATTGCTTTTTCGTGCATCCAATCATTCCACATAGTACTGCAGAACTTTTACAGGTTCGTACTCTGAGAAATCAATTGCTAGAGGCTGATGAGATAGGAGGTGAATTTGGCCAGGAGGAAAAACTTACTCGCAGATTAAAAAGACTTCTGGAGGAATACACAGATGGCTTCTCTGTACCAAAGGAACTAATTCAGAACGCAGACGATGCTGGTGCGACTGAGGTCAGATTTCTTTACGATGAAAGAACTAACGAAGATGCTATGACCTGTCTGATTGACGAAGGAATGAAAGAATGTCAAGGTCCTGCTTTGTGGGTCTACAACGACGCTGAGTTTAGGAATGACGATTTTGAAAACATTGTTAAACTTAATGGTGGTACAAAAGAGCAAGAAAATGAAAAGATTGGAAAGTTTGGTCTTGGGTTTAACACAGTCTACAATCTGACGGACGTTCCCATGTTTCTTAGCAGAAACTACTTTGTAATTTTTGATCCGAACACCTTTTATCTTCGAAAAGCCATCAAAAATAAAAGCAAGCCAGGAATAAAAATAGACGTCAACAAGAACCCGGAGAAAAAGCGAAAGTTTAGGAACCAATTTAAACCTTTCAATGGCATCTTTGGTTGCGATCTTCATCTGAACAAACCTGACAACTCATTCCCAGGAACCCTTTTTCGATTCCCTTTGAGAACCAGGGAGCAAGCCATAAGAAGTGAGATAAAAGGCGTTCATTACGACAACAACCAAATGAGAGAGCTATTAGATATTTTCGTGCGTGGAGCAAAACATTTGCTCTTGTTTACGCAAAATGTCTGTCAGCTAAGTATATTCCATCTGCCTAGAGAATCAGTGGAAGAGACACGACCTGAGCTGATGTTTCAAGTTACCAAGTCATTATCAAAAGTAGGAATCATTAGAGAGTTGTCTGTCCCCGTTGACCTCTCACGACATTTAAGGAATGTTAGCGCTGATGTTCTGCACCTCATAAAACAGTGCATTTTTCTACGAGCATCATCAGAAGTTGCAAAGTATGCTAGGGGTGTCAAGGAAATCGATGATCATTTACTGAAGTCAGCCTATACAGTCGACATAACAGGCAACGTAACCGCATTTGGACGCTCCTTTTTTGAGTACAAAAGCGAAATAAAAAGTGTCTCTGAAGTTTGGTTTGTTGCATCGTCAATGGGCCGTGGCCAAGCATTTAAATTTTCAGTAAATGACAAAGGCCTGCTTCCAGCAGCTGCAGTGGCTGTGCAGTTGATACCTCAAGAGAGAGAGACGTTTGTACCAGAACCTGTTGGCGGTATAGCTGCTGGAGGCAAACCGCCTCACAATGGAACAGTGTTTTGCTACCTTCCACTTCCAATTCACAGTGGTCTACCTGTGCATATAAATGGAGCATTCGCCGTAGACTCGAGCAGACGCCATTTGAAGGAGAAGACTGAGGATGACAAAACCTGCGTTGGGGTAGAGTGGAACAATGTTCTTTTGAAGGACTGCGTTTGTGCGGCCTATCTAGACCTTCTGGAAGACATGAAGGTAGCTGACACTATGTACTCTTTTCACTCTTTGTGGCCTAGGGAGCATGACGTAGAACGATGTTGTGAGCCACTTGCCCGTTCATTCTATGAAAAAGTTGCCGGTGGAGGTTTTTGCCTTTTTTCAGATGGAAAAAGATGGGTGGACATCAACCAAGTGATCTTTCTGGAGCCAGACTTTCGTCATGATCAACGTGTTGGAGACATATCGTTTGCATTACTACAGATGCTAGTCAACGAAAATAAAGTAGTCGTTGACCTTCCAGGGGACGTCTTCAAATCATTCGTGAAGTACGGTCTCAAGGAAAAGATCCAAGCTAAAACCTTCGGCAAGAGTAGGTTTTTCACTGAACTGTTTTTTCCAAACATTCTTTCTGTACCGACCAAAATTCGTGACGAATTGATCCTGTTTGCATTGGATGATTCAAAGGGAGAATTGGATGAATCGATTAAAGCCTATGCCTGTATTCCAGTTTCACCCACTGGTAAAAATCTTAAACGCCCTACCGAGCTTGTGAACCCAAACAAGGCAGCAGCTTCGCTTTTTCTTGAAAAAGATGAAAGGTTTCCGTCAGGGACTACCAAAACCTTCCTCGATTCTGTACGACTTGCTAAACTTGAACAGCTTGGAATGGTGGGAGATGATCTCCCTTAGGTTTTATTTGAAGAAAGAGCAAATAGTGTCAGCGTTTTGAACGAAGAAAGTAGTAAAGCAGCTTTAGAGCGTGCCAAAGCTTTAACAAATCTCTTAGAAAGAAAGCTTTACCTTGGCATTAAAGAGGAATTCCCAGAAGAAATCGGTAAGAATCTTTTGCAAACCAAATTTCTTCCAGTTGCCACAAAACCAGAAGGTTTTCCTCTTTTCTGGAAAGGAGGCAATTCACGCCCTGAGAAAGGAGCACAATTGGTGTCAGCTAAGGAAGGTTATCTTCAAAGCATGAGTTATCTTGTTTGCTGTTCTGAACCACTTGTAGACCTCTGTGTTCCTTCACACGTTGAAACGTTCTTACAGTTGGAAAAACATGTCAATCTTCGGCACATAGTTACCCAACTCGACGTCGCCTCCAGAACAGACGTCAGCTTGAATTTATTCCAATTTGAAACAGTGAAAACAGTCTGTTTAGAAGCTTACAGGAACCTACAGGCAGCCTTAAATAACAACCAAATCGACGAATATCAAGTGAAAAGTATTTTTCAAGATAAAAAATTCATTCTTGCCGGAAGAGAATTTGTTGATATAAAACATGTTGCTTTTGAGTTACCTGTCGACTGCTCTCCGTACCTCTATAAGCTGCGTGACGACCTCGCAAAACCATTTGGTACCTTGATGAAGAGCGCCGGGGTGAAAGAATTCTTCGAGTCCAGCGACTTCGTCACTTCTTTGGAAGAAATGAAAAACACGTTTGACGACACAGCACTGGATAAGAAAAATCTTCAAGTTGCCGTTCATCTGGCTTGTCTACTGGGTGAGTGCCTTAAAGATTGTGATGCAGCTGATGAAAAGCAACAAAAAATTTATATTCCTGACTCTCAAGGTATAATGCAACCTGCGAGTAAACTTTGCATTCACGACTGTTTCTGGATTTCTGATGAAAATGATGTTTACTATGCGAACAGCATGATTCCCCATCCAATATGCCGTACATTGGGAGTAAAAACACGCCGAGCAGAAGCACTCAGCCGCTTTACATTTGGAATTCCGTTTGGACAAAAGGAAAAGCTGACAAATCGATTACAGCGCCTACTTCAAGCCTACCCATGTGAAAAAGAAATTTTGAAAGAACTTCTTCAAAATGCTGATGATGCAGAAGCAACAGAGATCTGTTTTATTAAAGACCCAAGACGACATCCAGATGAACGTGTTTTTGAGGACTCATGGAAACCACTTCAGGGTCCTGCATTATGCGTGTACAATAACAAGCCATTCACTGAAGTGGATATCAAAGGAATACAGAATCTTGGGGAAGGAAGCAAAGGCGATGACCCCAACAAAACTGGCCAGTACGGCGTGGGTTTCAACGCTGTTTACCACTTGACTGACGTCCCTACATTTTCCTCAAGTGGTGACGAGATTGGAGATGTTTTGTGTGCTTTTGATCCAAATTGCGCTTACGTACCAGGAGCGAATCAGTGGGAACCAGGAAGAATGTTCAAGGAGACAACAAAGCTGAGAAGAAATTTTCCAGATGTTTTTTCCTGCTATAATGATGACCATTTCCCCTTACGAAACTCTACTATGTTTCGGTTTCCACTAAGAACTGAAGAGATGGCAAGCCATTCTAAAATATCCGACCGTCCTGTAACACTTGAAAAATTGACAGAAATGATGGAATCATTAAAAGGAGAGCTTTTTGAGGTTCTCTTGTTTGTTAACAATGTTAGAAAGATCACCTTGTGTGACATCGACGAGAATGGAGAAGTGGTGAATTCGTACTTTGTCAAAGCTGAAATATCAGAGAAGGATTCACTGGTAAGACAGTCTTTTTCTACTTACGTGAAAGATATTGGAGGGTCAGTGAAACAAAATGGCAACGAGTCACCTACAGAAGCCGCAGTTAAAACGTGCTCCTATGTTCTTAACCTAGAGGATAGTAGTGGCAACAAGGAAAGGTGGCTAATTGTCCAGCGAATCGGCTTCGAACGCAAAGTGAATGACAGCATCATCGATGCTTACCAAAAGCATGATCTTGGCATGCTTCCTCGAGGTGGTGTAGCTTGCTTGTTGCAACGCAAATCCGTTGAAAATGAGCCAGTGCAAAGAACGAAGAAGGTGTACTGCTTTCTTCCGCTTCCTATCGAAACGAATCTTCCCGTGCATATTAATGGTCACTTTGCATTAGACCACGAGGCAAGAACAAACTTCTGGAGAAATGAAAGTGGTGGCTACAAACGTGACTGGAACAATGTCTTGATGAGTGATATCATAACTTCATGTTATCTCACACTTCTCGACAAAGTGAGGAGCTTTTATCACCTGCCAGTTACGCATACCTCCGAAGAAGTTACTCTCAGCTGTAGTAAAGACTGGTTAGCAGCTAATGTAGACATCTTTGAGAGGCTGTTTCCCTCTATGGCTCAAGGCAATCCGTATCTGATCACTTTGGTTAAATCTGTCTACCAGGAAATGGACCGCAAGTGTTTACGATTTCTTCCAGTATTGCGTGACAACACTTCAGAGGACTCTACTCCCATTTGCCAGCTCGCCTGGCTTCCTCTAACTGGGAATGGGAAGGACAAAGCGTTCTTTAACTGTCTGGGGGAAAACGATTGTTTCAGTGCTGTTCAAACACGAAGATTCAGTGACAGTGAGAACGAAATAGAGCGTTTAAACGCGAAAAGGGCTTCGTTTGAAGAAATTCTGCTTCAAACTGGGTTTAATCTGGTGGCATTTTCTTTGTCAGTATTCAAAGAGGCACAAGAATCAGGTGTACACCCTTGCTGTGTTTCCCCTTCTGATGTAATAGAGTTTTACAAGTCTTTTAGTGGTGAGATACCTCTCTGCAAAGTTGGATCACTATATGTTGATGTCAAGGATACCCCATTCAAGAATGTTGAAACTGTGACAACAATACTTACCTATTGTAAAGACAGCGACAAGTTTCTGGAAAAGCTATCTGGCCTTCCATTACTTGTCACACAGGATAATCATCTGCACGCCTTTAGCACTATTCATCCCAAGTTTCTTTCCCGTCATCACGGGATCCTTCCACAGTGTAAAGAAATGTTTGTCCATGACCATGTTAGGATAAATATCTTTGGTAAAGCGGAGAGTCTAAAAGCATCAGTTTTTACGCGTTTTGATGTTAACAGCTTCGCAGCCAACTTACATCGAACGCTACCGCAAGGGTATATTAACAGTGGAAAATACGTGGAATGGAACCCAAATCAAGCCATAGAGCCTAATTTTGAATGGGTTAACAGAGTGTGGAAATTCCTAGCCGAAGCGATAGACGATGCCCTCAGTGAGTGGAAAAGAAAGCAAAAAGAGATTTCCAGAAACAACCAAGCAGTTAACGAGAGCGTGGTGTTACAGCCACTCAGTAAAGAGGAAGAAACCCGCATCATTCGAACAGTACTTGAACCTTTGGCCCAATGGTGCATTCTCCCATGCACAGAAACGGCAAACAGTCCTAGGGAAATAAGTCCTTCTGGAGTGCAAGTGAAACAATACCTGCTACCCTTGAGTCTGTCAGAATCTGTAATTCATTTACCGTCCCATGATGCCACAAATAGGGAAGTTGTGGACGTATTACGGTTGGTTAATTTGCCTGAACTTAATGGGCGTGTTTTGCTATCAACAAGTGCTTCACATACGCAGCCAAATTCCTTCCGATATGCTTGTAGGTTGGTGGCCTCGATTGAGTCACCAAAACTAATCCTGAAAGCACTGGACGCGAAGATGACCAGGGACACGCACTCTCTTCATGGAAAGTTGAAAGCAACTGAATGTCGCACCATTTTGGGGTATTTTAGCAAAAATGTGAAAGACCTGTCAGAAGGAGATAAGAGACCCTTAAAAAGACTTCCCTTTTACGAGGCCATACATGGTGGACTCTTGAGCATAGATGACAACAGCGTCTGTGTAGTTCCTGTAGACGTTCCAGGTAAAGGAATGGAAGTTTTAGAAAGCGTGAGTGATGTCGTGTTTCTGAAGTGGTGGTACGGCCTTTCTGACTTGCAGAAATTTCTGGAATTTGAATCCACCTCATCGGTTGATATGTATTGCAAGTTCATTTTGAAGTTCTTTCATTTCTTCTCCAGTGAAGCAAGGCTAGTTCATCTTGAGCACATCCGTGACAGAATTTTGAACCAAGTATTTGCTAAGGAGTATGACAAGCAGCGATTGTTGTATTGTCTAGAAAGTACAAATATCATTCCTTCTAGCGACGGTACCTTAGTGAAGGCAAACTGTTATTATAATCCAGAGAACGGGGTGTTCAAAGCTTTGCTTTCAGATGACCTGTTTCCGCCAGAACCCTTTAACAGTGAGGAATGGTTGCCGTTTTTAAAACGTATCGGATTGATTCACGAAATTTCTCAAGATCTTTTCAAGATGTTTGCTCTGAAAATCGCAAACGAAGCCGTTACACAGCCCACGGAGAACACTGAGTTGAAGTCAAAAGTCCTTGTAGCACACCTGTTCAAGAGGAGCAATGTTGTAGAAGAAGGCCTTCTTGAAGCTATCTGCGATATTAAGTTTGTCCCTTCAGACCCTGTTAAGCCAAACCTTCGAGCAATATATCGACCATACGGTGAACGAAATGACGGTAAGCCAACTTACATTTCTTTCCGCGGTTCTTTAGTAGCAAAGCATGCCAAAATAGTTTGGACAACGGCTCCTCTTCTTCCTCAATGGGCAAATCCGAGGGAATATCAGTATCTGATGAATGCACTTAATTGGAGCAATATGGATCACTACTGCTACGCAGCAATGGAAAAGCTAGGAATTCTGGCAGAGCCAACTGTAACGCTTGTTACATCGCACTGCCAAATTGTGTCGACCCACTTAGAAAAAGAAAATGATAGAGACCTGACTGCGGATCAGATGACCACAAGAATGTCAGTCATGATGAAAATCTACAGATTCTTGAAAGCTAAGGCTACCTCGTCTGCTTTTGCAAAAGACCAACTGAGACACACACCATGTATTTTAGTTGAAGAAGGCAGGCGTCTCGTAAGAGTTCACCAAATAGTTATTGAACTAAACAAGGAATATGAGATTCAGCCATACCTCTACAGGGTACCAGCAGAGCTTGTTCAGTTTGAGGGCTTGTTTCAGTATTTGGGCTGTGCTTCTGTAGTGAATATATCTCATTTCGCTATGGTCTTAGATATGCTGAAACAGAAATGTAAGGAGAAACAACTAGATCCCAATGAGAAAATGTGCGCTTTAACAGCTGAAAGAGGTATTTTTGAAGCACTTAAAGATCATTCGAACGATGGCCAAAATTTGCCCTCACTTTACCTGCCAGCCACACGTCCATTTATTGACAAAGATGATGGCCTTTCACCGCCTGTCGTGTTGCAAAAATCAGCGGAACTTCTCTTTGATGATGCCCCGTTTTACCATGAACGCATTAAAGGGTTTGATCAGCTCTTCCTGGTGGACCTTTCAAAGGCCAAGGTGCATTGTAAAAAGGGTTCCAATTACAAGGATCTAATCATGCTCCTTCCTCAGGCCCTACGTCCTCAAATTTTGTCCACCGTCGTCATAGAGAAATTCACTGATTCTTTTGACAAGGGCGATAGATTTGATCTTGGAGCAGCCGTTTCGCTAAAAAGGTCACTTCACTCACCGCAATTCTGTCGTGGCATTATCAGACTTATTCGTCACGCAAGCCGCGAATACGAGGAAAAGGTAGATGAGAGTGTCGTTGCCACTGTCAAAAACCGATTGCAAAGTATCGAGATTCATGGAATGAGTAAAATTGTTACTCAGCTACTCTACAAAGGAATCAAAATTCCAGGAAGCGAGATGGAAAAGCCATACTTTGTGGAGAAGGTTAGCAAGTCCAGTGAAGAGATTTGGAATGTATATGTCAATGCTGTGGACGAAGGACAGAAAACGTCATCGGCAATAGCTCTGAATTTAGCCAAGGTGATATCAGAAGCATGTAAGGGACTCTTGAGGGACGCCGCTATGTTCATTCCTCCGATGTTGCAAAGTCAACCAGAGCATATTTCCTCTTTTCTGGACATGATGAAGATACACCAAGATGATTCTTATGATGGGGAGGAAGGAGAGATCTTACCACCACCAGGTAGTTTTATTCCAATTGCCGAACAACACCTTCTCAATGCAGCCTTTTCATATTTCAAACCTGGTGAATACGTTGGATACGAAGTAGACGATCCAAGTCTAAAACTTGAAGATGGAGATGCAACTTACATTTATGCTGTAATAATCAATGAAGTTTCAAATCCCGACACTAGTCTCATTACAAAGTCTTACAAGATCAATGTTGGAAATGACAAACCACCAAAAGTTGTCCCAGCAACTGAATTGTACAAATTTTACCGTTTTCAAGAGATAGCACCGGCTGCACTCGTTTCATCAGGTCATCAATGGACAAATATGGATAGCAAACATGAAATATTTCAAGAGATCACCAAAACACTAGAAGAGGCTTGGGGGCTTTCAGAAGACAGAAGAAGACAAGTTGTCAAGCGACTATTTCTATTATGGCACCCGGACAAAAACCCAAGAAATGAGGAATTCTGTACAGAGGTTTTCCAGCACACAAAGAACGAAATTGAACGTTTGGAGAGGGAAGGTTGGGGTAGACGTGAACGCGAAAGGAGCGAGAGTTACCATTACGGTGGTGGTTCATATGGTGCCTACTTTGGTTTTTGGGGGACGCGTGCAAGAGAGCACCGTTCTCGCCGCCGAGAGTACCAAGAAACATACTATCGACATTATGGAACATGGGGACACAGAACGCGAACCTGGGAGGTTCCTCCTAGCTTCTGTGAAACGAATCCCCAACCAGGACAGGCGAGGCGCTGGTTTAGACAGGCAGAAACTGACCTTAACGCCGTTGCGAACGACGTTCATACTGGTACTGCTTCTTACGAATGGGCATGCTTTAAGTGCCATCAGGTATGAATTGAAGTATTTATTACGTGATTTTGTTAGCAATAAAAGTATATTTCTTTCATGTTTCCCTTTTCAATGTTATCGTGGAGGGCTCATTGTTATGTGATTACAGGCCGCAGAAAAAGCGCTGAAGGCTGCACAGTACGCGACAGATGCCTTTAAGACCAACGTTCATAACCTCGTCCAGAACTCCTTGATGTTAGACGACTCTCGACTGGTAACTGTTTCAAGCCAGCTCGAGGGATGTGTGGGTGATTCAACGCGCATGCGCTACCCTGATCGACTGGACTATCCAAAAATTCCAAACGATGTTTACACAGAAGAAGACGCCCATCAGGCATTGGAGGCAGCGACGGAGATTCTACAAATTGTTAGGAGCAGACTGTCGTAAGGTAATCGTCAGTTAACCAAGCTAATGTTTGAAGTAATTATTGAGCTGCTGAAAAACAACATATCACATTCTGTGAAAACGTTACATATGAGCTAGTTTAGTAGGATAAGCTATTTCTTTTAAGAAGGGTTTTAGAGCTTTTTAGCTGTTGTTCCTAAACGGAGTAGGGACTTCCAAGACTTAAACATCTGTTGAATGACTCTCACAATCCNACCAAGAAACATACTATCGACATTATGGAACATGGGGACACAGAACGCGAACCTGGGAGGTTCCTCCTAGCTTCTGTGAAACGAATCCCCAACCAGGACAGGCGAGGCGCTGGTTTAGACAGGCAGAAACTGACCTTAACGCCGTTGCGAACGACGTTCATACTGGTACTGCTTCTTACGAATGGGCATGCTTTAAGTGCCATCAGGTATGAATTGAAGTATTTATTACGTGATTTTGTTAGCAATAAAAGTATATTTCTTTCATGTTTCCCTTTTCAATGTTATCGTGGAGGGCTCATTGTTATGTGATTACAGGCCGCAGAAAAAGCGCTGAAGGCTGCACAGTACGCGACAGATGCCTTTAAGACCAACGTTCATAACCTCGTCCAGAACTCCTTGATGTTAGACGACTCTCGACTGGTAACTGTTTCAAGCCAGCTCGAGGGATGTGTGGGTGATTCAACGCGCATGCGCTACCCTGATCGACTGGACTATCCAAAAATTCCAAACGATGTTTACACAGAAGAAGACGCCCATCAGGCATTGGAGGCAGCGACGGAGATTCTACAAATTGTTAGGAGCAGACTGTCGTAAGGTAATCGTCAGTTAACCAAGCTAATGTTTGAAGTAATTATTGAGCTGCTGAAAAACAACATATCACATTCTGTGAAAACGTTACATATGAACTAGTTTAGTAGCATAAGCTATTTCTTTTAAGAAGGGTTTTAGAGCTTTTTAGCTGTTGTTCCTAAACGGAGTAGGGACTTCCAAGACTTAAACATCTGTTGAATGACTCTCACAATCCTCCAGCTGTATCATGAACACTGATTTGCGCATAAGGAAATAAATCATCTTTGTTTGTTTTACATCAGGATTGATTTCGTCCAACATTGTCCTCACAATGGAGACGATCAGCAGGAGCAAGCTTTTTAAGATGCGTTACAGACGTCTTTCAGGAAAAGAGCCATAAAAATATGTCAATCTATATGCTTTTTACGTACACATTTTAGTAACCGCTAAGGTTAATTAGACATTAGATGGAAGATGTTACGCATCGGTCCTTGGAGCAATATCTTGCGTAAAGTGATTAGTTGATATCATGACGATGGGACACTGAAAATAGCCACTAACCTTTCATTGCGTATAACCCAAATGAAGCTGTTTTCACACTCCTTTTATCCCGAGAAGGGTTTATTTGTAGTTTATTGTAGAAGATAGGGGATTGTTTAACGATTCTTATTGTACCTAAATTGACAACAGTTTTCTTTAGTTATTTTCGTTGAGGTTTTAGTGACTTCTAATTAATAAAGGTTTTGCCAAGTTAGCTAGCAAGTAAAATACATTAGAACCGTTGCTGCATTGTCTTGAATGTTGCCAAAAAAAGAATTTCAAAGAAAAATAGTTAGAGTCAACTCTATTAATATGTGCAAAAGAGCTCTTTTGGATACCTTTGTTTTTTGTTTGAGATTTCGTTCTGTCTAATAGGGTAGCGTATACTGAAAGCAGTTGATGTTAAGCTGCGTTAAAGTATAAACAGGAGACTTCAAAAGACTTTTCTCGACCTCATCAGTACCTTCCAAATCTAGCTCCGGTTGACAGTTACAAGAGTAATTGTCTAAGAAAGCAGACGAATTAGTTTTCTGTAATTTCCATCATAAATCTGGACACATGTGTTTAGGTATTGCGTTGTCTAACATCCAATTTACCGATGCACTCTTACCAAGCGAACAACATAAATTTATGTCGCAGCTAAGTAAAATATCAAGTAGTGTATGTTCAGGAGTTACGTTTTAATAAAATTGCACAGTTGCTATTTTCCAGGTCAACTATATATTGCTTTGGGTTTTCCCCAGGGACAAACTAAAACCCTTTAACAACTTAAGCTTATGCCAATATCAAGTAGTGTAATGTTATGAGTCAAGATTTAATACATTTCCACAGCTGCTTTTTCCAAGCTCTTTACACTTAAAAACTGTACGAGATAACCAATGACTTGTCCGCCATAGGCGGGTATCCGTAAAGCGTTTCTTTTTTGGTAACAGCCAAACTCAAGGCAAATAGCTAACGCGCGCGGTACCCAAGTACAAGACGAAATATTGGACTTGCTCATTCTACATAAATGACCTCCACTGAGATTTAACATGTAAAATAGGTCTATTTGGCATTTTGTCTGTAATTGCAGTAAGACGGCTATAAACAGGCTTAATACGCAAGATGAAGAAGATTGAATCATTAAAATAGCTACCTATTTCTGAAAACAAGCATTTTGTCAAATTTCGAGAAAAGCTGGAAAGCTACAAAAAATGTTTTCCAATTTTGTTCAAGAAGATCATTGTCAAAACTACTACAAAACACCAATAAGTCGAACGAGACCTCACTTGAAACTGACTAAGATTCGTCTGATACACATTTACCTAAGATAGGCACTCTTATTTTCCCATTTGCCATCTCTCTTCTTCCGATTTGGACTAATGGAAGTATAATACGCCTAAAGGTATCCTCGAAGGACGGAACATCATCCAGTAAGTAGTAGAGAGCTTTACCAAACGACAACGACGGCACGGGAGCGTAAAATTGTGTCTTTTTCAAATAGTCTTTGACCTCCGCTGGAACGACCACGACGTGAAATGTAACTTCTTAATTCTATGGTGAACACACTATTACGAATTTTCAATTATCCTTTTGACCTTGGATAGAGTCCAAAATCATTCAGCTCCAAGAAAATTGGCCTACGATTAACTTATTGAGCAAGGCGAAGATTGAACGCGAAAGGAATTTGAAAAGAAATAATTATAATGTTTAGTGACGTTTTCACTGCCATCGTCATCATAGCTGCTTTAAGCTCCCTTCCGACTGGCCTTCAAGCCTTACTTGTATTACACCTAAGGGACTGTTACTCCTGACACCTCAAGTACCCGCTATGTAACTGTGTACAATATTTTATCCACTTCGCCATGTAAGACTCCATTTTAAAACATGAGTGAAGTAGGGAGTTATGGGTATAAAAAGCAGCGGATTACCTCGGAACTAACAGAAAACGTGTGCGTGGCGCCCACTTTAATACTCAGGAGTCGACACGTTGCCAAAATTCTGGCGTGGGTACTTGAAATTAAGTGTGTATGTCCACACTTGTTCCCGGGGAGTAACTTTTAAAGGCACCAACTGTGAACGCTGTCTTATAAGACGCAAGCATAACCTCAAGCGACCTAAGCAGCCACAGTAGCATACTAACTATTCTAGACCATACCATGTCTAGACGAATCCATTAAGTTAAACGCGTACAAACTTACACGTTTATGGCTGTCCACACGAGAATAATATTCAGCTCTGCGTACGAGCCTGTGTACGAACCTGTACTAATGATGATCGTTTCCATCATTGACGTGTGAACAAAACGTGTAATCTTGAATGCGTTTAAAAAATTTTAAATAACTGACTCGTGTGGACGGACTTATGGAGCAATGGTGGTGTAGATTTACGTGAGAGCCCTTTTCTAACAAATGGCTCGAGTTCAGTCCCGACGGCGACGCCACTTGTGGGTTGGGTCTGGTGTTGTCTCTCGCTCATGCTCTGATAATTCGGGGGGGGGGGGGGATCTCACATACGACAGGGGGGGGTGTGATCTGGGACAGTGTAGAATTCA